CAGCACGCTTCTTTTTCAATTTGCACCGCCTGGGTCAGCCTCTCGGTGCTGTGAGGAAAATGCCCCACTGCCTGCCAAAACCCCTCTCCCGGAGTCCATCAAGCCAGATATGTGAAGTAGATGAGGGCCATTTGCTGGCCACTTCCAGGCAATGGTGCATTTCTTCATTCCTCACAAAGGGTGACACCTCCCCAGCATGCACCCAGGGGTGGGGCCAACGCAGCAGGGGCTGGTCCCTTGCTGTTTCCAGACGGCCTTGTGGAGCAAAGACTGAATGCGTTTCAGCACAGATGGCCACCACAAAATTGTACATTGGCTCCCAGGTGGCCTGGGCCGGGGCCCAGGCAGCAGAGGCGATTCCCTCACTGTTTCCAGGGTGGCTTCGCGGGCTACATGAAACCACGTTGTGGGCCGCATCCGGCACCCGGGCCTTGTGTTTGACATGTCTGCTATGGAATGTTGTCAGTATTTGTTACCTTTTATGTCATCTCTTCTAAAAAGAAGTGTGTTAAAGTCATTTTAAAAAGTAATGTTCAATTTGGGTCTAATAGCAGAGTTCTCCAAAGTGGTCAGTCCTGACCCCAACATTGGCCCAAAGGATCAATGGAATTATCCAATGGCTCAATGCTATGAGTTGGTTGCACAGTTAGCCAGATGTTGTAGACTAGATTTGGTATTTTATCCACCTATCGAGTCCTTCCCAAGGACCAGGAATAAGTAGATACTGTAATGCCACCAGCCATAAAAAAAAAAATCTGGAGCACCGCTTGAGCATTATTGGCATTGACAAAATCATCACCAGTTGATTGCAAAAGGCAGTTTTACTTGGAGCAGCTTACATCTTCTGATAATACCTTTCATATTATTAAACAATAACATCTGCCTGTCCCAAATTGTTAGAAAGAATGTGGACAAAAAATGCCAAATCCAATCTAAGCAAGTAGCTGACTGCGTGACCAACCATCATCATCATCATCATCATCATCATCATCATCAATAGTCCCACTGACGATTGGTGCTTAATATTGGCCACTTTGGAGAGCCCTGTTTTAGATCCAGTTGAAACCCACTTTTAAAAAATAACTTTAACAACACTTCAGTGCTCTGGGAATGGTAAAAGGGACACTAGAGTATTTTTTATTTTAAAAAGACACATTATCATCTCCATTTTTGGATCTACCAGCATAAATTATTCTATAAAGTCATAGAAGCATTGCTTGGTATTACATAATAAAATTGCATGAATTACGTGCTTCTATTTTCCATGCGTTATTGTATATCTCCTTTTCATGATCTTGATGTGACACCATTTAGATGAGATGAAGATTCATGAGCTATATTTGGGTCATTGCATAAAGAAATATAAAAAAATGTTTTCAAAATTAAATGTATTGTCATGTTGAGACGTATTGTACCATCTCCCCTCTCATTTACAAATCACCCACATATACACACATTGTACAGTTGAAATAACATATGAGTTGCTATTTTCTAGTTACTTCAAAGGTACATTGGGAACATAGTAGGAACATAAAATTGCTTTGTCACAATTCACTAAGCTAGTCCATTCCTTCTGTAAATCATTAATAATGCTGACAGTCTGGGAAATTTACTTTGGCTGTAAATCTATAAAAGGCATGAGAAGATGTGGTAGAAGGATTTCTATATCTGACTTTCAAATAAGAATGTTTGGACTGAACAAAAGGTAGAGGGAAGAGATAAATTAAGAATTGTGAAAAGGGCTTGACTGTGTAAAAGGTGAAAAAAAAAATAAACACTCCTATTCCTGTAAAAATCACTTGGGAAATTTGACATTAGCTTTATTTAGAACTTCCTTCTTTTATTAGGATTTTTTGATCAGGTATGACTTTTTATCTCTTTTTAATCTTATAGAAGGACTGCAGACATGATGATACGGTTGTTGATTTCTGATCTTTACAGTTTTATTTTAATTTATGTGAGATGGGCGGTTCTTAAATATGATAAATAAAATATAAATTTGTTTATGCAGTAAATGAATTTATAAATGCAGTAAAAATTAAATAATGGTTTAGTCACTCCATTATCGTGTTACATTCTTTGCATTTAGGTATGTTCTGTTTAGGTTGTCTAGGTATAGCAGTTTATTATTTAGCACATGATGAGAACATGATAAAAGAGAAGTAAACTCCTGAAAGACGCACGGAGGATCTGCGCTTGTAACCACCCTGTCACGGGAGTAGTTACGCGCTCCCGGAGAGCGGCTTTACAGAAGCTTGAAAGAGAGGCAACCGGATTGGGAACTGCACCAGATCACATGAAGGAGGAGTACGCAGGATATCAAGCACATACTAAATTAATTCAAACACCCCGGAGAACACTTATAATAATGAAACAAGGCGGACCTTGGACTCAATTAGATGATACACTGGGAGCAGTGGGGGGAAATAAAAGCACGGAAGGGGTTAATCATGAGGACTGTGAGGGTGCTGGAGGGGCGATAAGAGTAGATGCACTGAAAAACGAGGACCAAAGTGAAACCCTCGGTATGAAGAATGGTGATAATAAATGCACAAATAAGTGTGATGTGTGCCGGAAGAGTGGAAGAGAGAAATGCCCCGGAAAACACAGGAGGGGCCAGCTCGATAACGAGGAGGGAACTTTAACTCTGGGAAATACACGTTGCCTTCCCGGCTCAAGAACTAAAAGGGGTGGGGAGAGGGGCGATCGTGCAGATGTAAAGGACTTCGTCGAAACGTTGCCAAGACACTTCCAATTTTACGCGGGAGAAAACCCGAACAACCAAAGACCTACATATATATATATATATATATATATATATATATATATATATATATATATATATATATATATATATATAGGCAGCGGCCCCATAACTGAATGTCCAATTCAACTCCCCAGGTGATCGCCTCTGACGTTGCTTGATACAGAACTTCTAGGGAACCAGAGAAGGCATGTTATGGGAAATCTTTCACAATATGTTTAGTAGTTTGCATATCAGCACCACAATCACAACAAGGGGAATCTTTCTATCCCCACTAATACAGGGCAGAGGCATTTCTGCTAATATCACACCTAATTCTGTTCACTTTTGACCAGAAAAAGTGAGGCTGGTCAAAACCAGGTAATTTGGTAGAAGGATCACTAATGGTCAGGCCACAAGAAGGTACCTTGGACTATTCCCTTCTCCATTCCTCTAGTTATCCAGCTTTTGGAGATCTTGAGAGAGGATGTCTCCTGCATCACTGAAGTTGGTTTTTTGGATTGTGAGATTGATTTCATCAGCATAAATCCATTTCCGAGAATGTTTCAGGCAAGTCATGGATGTACAAGTTAAAAAGAGCAGGGGATAGCACTGATCTTTATGGAAATCCATTATTCAACATACGATATCTGCCTCTATTGAATTCTGTAAAAACTTGAAATATCCTGTTACTCAACATGTTGTCAGTTAAAGCAATGATGTTATGACAAGGTATAACCTTGATTAGTTTGAGGCAAAGTCCTTATCTCCAGACAGTACATTGGTGTCTCTTTGTTTTTTAAGCACTGTGGCCAGTTTATTTTGATATTTAAAACGATCAGTTAAAATGTGGTTACGATGACAGAGATAAGGAACATTAAGGATTGAGTTTTGTTACTATCTTAAAAGGGAAGATTATTCAGAGTGTGTCTAACTGTGATCATGAAGACAATACAAGGATAGGATCCTCCGGAAAACATCAATTTGGGTAGCTTTTCTTCATCCTTTCCCAAACATACTCTTCTTGGTAACAAGGAGGCTTACCTCTTAATAGAGAGGACAGAGATACAGGAAAGCCAAGAGCATCTCCAGGCATGGGTTCAGATCCACATGAGAAACAACTGAGGGTTGTTTCGTGAGGTATTTTCTATCATGCTTTGTCCTGTTATGATAAGGAAGTTATGTCTCAGACAAATATCTTTTTAGCATATTAGTTACTGTTTAAAACATGAGCTAAGAAGGAAATTCTAATAGGCCAACACTTTATTCTCTCATGAAGGTCATGGCAGGGGCAAAACATCTGTCTCTCTTTCAGATAGATAGATAGATAGATAGATAGATAGATAGATAGATAGATAGATAGATAGATAGATAGATAGATAGATAAATACAGGGCTTTTTTTCTCATAGAACACCCAGAACGGAGTTCCAGTACCTTTTTTGGATAGAACCTTGTAGGGTAGGCAAGGCGGGTTGTATGACACCTTTTTTTTCTGGCACTTTTTTTTTTTTTAGAAAAAAAGCACTGGGTAGGTAGGTAGGTAGGTAGGTAGGTAGGTAGGTAGGTAGGTAGATAGATAGATAGATAGATAGATAGATAGATAGATAGATAGATAGATAGATAGATAGATAGATAGATAGATAATCACCTAAGGACCAACATTAAAATATACTCATATACTCACCTTTATGTGCAGAAAAACTGAACACTGCAATACACCGTTGTACTTTCTGAACATAGTTTTCCAAAGTGTAAATTACTTTAAAGGACATTTCTTTTTTCCTTTTTTGAGTTCTTCCTCTTCATCTGAATTTCATAATTATTGTTATATAATCCTAATGCTTGCCCAAAACACTTTGAAGACATATCACATACAGCAATAGAAGAGAAAATTTGTAGCTCAGGATTAAACTGTGGAGTTCTTGTGCTCTCTGAGCTTGGTTGCTTTCTTGTAGATGTTTCATTGCCCAGTAAGTTTATGTTATCAGTGCTAGAAGATATGGTATAAAAAGAGGGCAAACTCCACTCCCTTCTAACACTGATGATGTTACCTAATTGAGTGTAATGAAATGTCTGCAAGAAAACAACCAAGCTCAGAGAGCACCAAGGTATCAAATCTTTCTTTCTATTTTCCTTTATCTTTCTTTAATCATATAAATGAGCTAAACCACGATCAATCCCTGTGATGAAATATAATGGTCAGGCAAACTTTATTTTTAAACTAGATCTTGAAATAAAGTTTTGGAGTCAGGTTGGTATGTTACACATTTTCAGTTTTATTTTATTGTGTTTATTATGTGCACAAACCCTTCATTTCACCTTTCATATTAAAAAGACTTCATGAAATAAGGCAAAAAATAACTTACCATTATATGAAAATTAATTGTAACCAATCACAAAACATACATATTAATAGAAAACCACACTATTTTTTTTAGGGACTATGATATAAAATGAATAGATGCCAACTATAGCAAAATCAGCCGAATGTACAACATGGTATAAGAAATTCAACTCTCTATAAAAGAGCGTATAAAAATATGTACAAAAAAATCTAAGATTGATAGAAAACACATTCGCATATACCTTCTTCTCTTCTCAAAGTGCTTTGCATTAACAACATTATACAAGACACTCTACTTTGTGTTCAAAAACCTGTTAACTTTAAAACTAATTTCTTTGATTTTATCTGTATTTTTTTAAATACACATAAAAAGTGCTGGTTTTACAAGTTACAAAAAAAAGCAAGTTGCTATGAAATGGCACAGTCAAAACTGGGCAATAAACACAATTACATTTTTAAAAAAGTTTTGTAATAATGGTACTCAACAGTACTAAAAAGGTGACATTTATATTAACTCCAGTGTATAGTTTTCCCTACCATGGATATAAATACTTTTGAAGAACAGATGGGCAGTCCCATCCCTGATTTAGCCCAGCCAGCCTGGAAAAGAAGGTTTGCTTATTTTTAAGCTTCCAAAGAACCATTTCTTGCAAGAGTTTAGAGCAGCAGTCGCCAATCTTTTTGGCTCCAGGGACCGGTGGGAGGATGGTTTTGTGCAGTACCTGGATCCCACGCATGGGCAGATGCATGGACTGGTTCCTAATGGGCCATGGACCAGTATTGGGGATCCCTGGTTTAGAGGGCAGTAGAAAGGATGTAATAATTACAATTCAATCTGACAGTGGTTTTCTTCTCATTGTTTAGATATGAATGGCTGTGCAGAAAGCAGATACTTCTGGGCTGTGTGTGGAAATTCTGCTTTCTATACAGATTAAAGTCCACGAAGGTGCGATAGGAGTTGGTTGGTTGCACAACATAGCATAACTATTTTTGTAAACTATAGTGATACTTATTAGCTGCATCGTCACACAAAAATAGTTTATATCAAACTCCTTTATATAGGTAAGTATATCCAACTTTCCCAAACTTAAGAGCTGCAAAATATTTGTATTGTAACATGACCCTGTTCTGTTTGGTGCTGTTCATCAAATAAGGGAGATCTAATTACCATGAAAAACCCCAGTTTTGTCATCAGATTTGGTCTTCTTATGTATTTCGTGATATACATATATTCGTATGTATTTCGTGATACTAAAATGTGAAGTAGGCATGTTAATTTGATGCAGGGAAGGCATAGGGTTTTTTAGTGAAAATGAAACACTCTTTGTAAGCATGGTGATTTCCATAGCACATTTAACTTTTTAGCAGGAGTACATTTGCACTAATTGGTTGTAATGAATCTCAAGAAACTTAAGTCAAATTCTTGTAAAATTAGCAAGACTTCATTTGAGTGGCCCACAAGTAGGATTTCTTTTAACCTTGAATTCTGAGATGTGAGGCTTGTTCACACTTTTCAGAATTCAAGGTTAGAGGAAATCCTGTTTGTGGCCACCCAAATGAAGCCTTGCTTATGTTCCTGGATGGGATCAGATTGCTTGGAGGTGGGAAGGGATTGGATCTTTCTGGACAGGACTTTTGGATTTGCTGCTTTCAGTGCCAATGAAAAGGGCTTGAGCAAGGTAGAAAGGTGGATAGAAACGGGGGAATAGGCTCTCTAATAAAACCTGACCTTCCATGTATCCCTGTGCTCCATTTTTCTGACAAAAAGAGTTCTTAAAGAAAGTCCTATTTTCAGTGGCATTTAATGCAAATATAAGTATTTCTTTTCACTAAAAGCAAAAAGCTCCTTTTAACAGGTGCAGCTTTGTATTTCTAAGCTACCAAGAATAAAATAGCCTTTGGGGGGCTATAGAACATTTTTCAAAAATTAAAACCAAGACATAATAAAATCTGAGAAGGACAACTTCATTTCTAAACTGTAAGCCTAAATGTAAAGATTCAGCTATGTAGTATGTTCTATCTCCCTCTCTCCCTCCCCCCCTCTCTCATCTATATCTATTTTGTATACCCATTTTCAATCCTCCCCATAATATGAGCTGCTGCAAGAATCTACAAGCGCTTTCTCATTAAATAAATGGCTATGGATAGATGTGATTATATAGGGATCGGGAGAAGAGAGCCTGAACTCCATTCTCCAAACAGATGGCTTTGGCACTGTTACTTTTATAAAAATAATCCAGCCTCTTCGTCACTAGGTACAATTTTTTTTTTATCCTGCAGAGGATGACAATAAAGTGCAATCAAAATCTGATTCAACACGGGGATCCCCACCCAGATTTCTTTTGCTGGAATAGAATAAACACACTTTGCTTTTATACTAGTAGTGAATATTTTAAAAGGTGGCTACACTGTACCCATAAATTCACAAAGCACTTTAATAAATGTAAATATAATTCAGTATCAGGATTTTGGAAGCTTGAATGATGATTTTAGAAACTTTCTACTCATTCTTACTATAGTTTATGTACAATAATTCCTTTGGCTGACGTCTTCACAGATTTTTTTTTCATTAGCGATAACAGGTCATTACCAAAGACCATGCAGAGTGAGAAATTCTTCAAATGATTTGACCACAATATGACTAAACAAGCCACAAGTAAATAATGAATAAAGAAGGCTGCTGTTTGAATTACATGACTTTGTATCTATGACAAAGACCACACCTTGAAAGGCAAATCCACATTTTACTTCCCAAACGTATTTATCACTATTCAAAAACAACACAAAAGCCTTTGCAATGGAGTTAATACCTGATGTGCTAACTGTTTTTAGCAAAAAGATGACAGAAAAGTAGAAAAAAAACCATCAGATTTATATATTAGCATACAGTATGTGCAATATTAATGTGGGGAAAATAAACTTTTAAAATACATGATGAATAAAGTACAAAAGATCTCTCACAGATGTACAAAATTTCTGAACGTAACTATGTGTGACCTCAAAGATCTGAAATGACATGCTAGGCCAGGGGTCTTCAATCTTGGCCCTTTTATGACTTTTGGCCCTTTTGAGCATGGCTTAAAAAAAATCACCAGCACAGACCTCTTTAAGCTAACTGTTAATACTGGATGCTGAAAAGAAGCTCAAATTGTACTGTTGTCACCAATATCATATCACAAAAAATACGTTCCCTTTTCACCCTCCATCCTATGAGTGTGCTTAGATTTCAAAGCACTGCAAGGGAGGTTCTTTATTTTAGAAATCTGCTTTTGTGAGAGGTTTATTGTTGTTGACCATTTTTTGAATTCCTCCAAGAAGGTTTTAAAAACTTAAAATCTCAACAATTTGTTTAAAAATATACTAAGCAGTGCAGTAATCATTTTCTTTTGGGAATGGTTATGCAACAGAAAAGGCCAAATTAAAGAGCAATTGCTCACATTTGGCAAATACACGTCAACCAACATCTTGCAACACCTTATATTAGCTGCAGCTGTGAAGTTGGGATCTTTCTGGTGATGTTTTCTTTATTTCTTGAGCAAGCACTTTCAGAGTTGTGCTGACCAACAGAAGATGATCTTTAGTAGACTGAATGGTTGAGATGATATGCAGACCTGTGGTCTGTGCCTCCTCAGCCTTCCATATAAAGTGAAGACAGTTGACTAGGACAACGATCCACAGCATTTATATGGAGGAAACTTGCATCTTCCACTCCACTGCGCAGTGAGTCACCAAAGGCCATTGGAAAATCATAAACTGGAAAAAAATGAAGATATTTAGACATTAGTCAAACTTAATTTGAAAAACTCAAAGTGATTTTACACAGGAAAAAAATGGCAGCTTAGCATGAATCACAAGCAACTGTGGGATTCCTCAGGCATATTTGGAGATCTAATATGTGTTAGGAGAGAAAGGGATATTAAGAGAAGAAATATTGTGTCAGAACTGAAGGGGGAAAAGTGTTTTGTCAGTGATTTGAAACAGAGATTGGACAGGGGATCGAGGAATAGATGAAGACTCTTCTTTCTGTTTCGCTGCTCTAACTTCAACCGATGTTTAGTTTCTTTTCTGTACCTGCTCCTTCTCTGTTTAGAAATTGGAGCTCTATTGTTAAGCGTTAAAATTTCCTGTATTTCCCTCTAAGCCTATGGAAGTCTTGAGAATACTAGGAAAGGTTATTAATAAAATGAACGCATATATGCTTCATCTTTAATGGAACCGTGAAGAGAAAATTGCAAGTGACAGTGACAGCAAGTGACTCTAGAAGGCTATGCCTTCAGAATACTCTGCCCTGAATTTGCTGGGTGATCTGAAGAAAGCTACACTCTGTCAGCCTCAATTAATGCATCTATAGTAGCGAGAATAAAACCAATTTATCTTACAAAGGTAAGAAGTAAGAATAAACATTAGAAGTATTACATATAAATATAGAATCAAGATATTTAGTTATTAATAGTATTTACCAAGTATTTTTTTCTATTGGTTCTCATAAATATCCCTGCTACCTGATGTTTGAAAGATAGTGACTGAGTCAATTCATAAACATTATACATTTGGGACCAATCTTAAAATATGGAGGCTGTCTTTAGTCTGTTGGATGCCTTTTTAAAAACCAGAAGAGAGGATACCAGCTGCTGTGATGTGATGAAAGTGCAAATAGAAAATCCCATCTAGCCTCTTATTTATTTATTTTCTATCATAATGTTCACAGTTAACACAAGAACCTGATTTAAAGTCTATAAGGCTTGAAGCACCTTGAGGGCCACTATAGTAGCCATAAAGTTCCTATGGGGTGATACTGAATTATCATAGGAAATGATATAATATTCAGTATAAACTATGATCTATTCAGTGTAAGGAATTATTTCCATTGAGATATAAATGACAAGATGTAAATATGGAAATAAAGCAATATCCTACAACTTAAAATAATGTGAGAAGTGATTTTGTTCTCAACTAAAACTGAATCACGTTTCCAATGATGAAGGTTCTGGAGCTGGGTAGTTGTATATCTTGGAAAAAAAGTAAATTCATAATTTGATCACATCTGCCTCCAGAAACTGTTTACGAAACCATTAATGTATAAGAGAACATGTACTTATTGTAAATAACACTATCACAATATTGTAATTTTCATACCTGTAATACCAGAATGTGCTGAAAATGCTTTATGGAAAACATCAAAACCTGCCTGACCCATAGATGTAGGTACCAAACAATCTTCAAAAGGAGGGACCATGTTACATGTTCCAATGTGTTGTATATTTCTCTGATTGTCAGTATAATGAGGGGAGCAGAAAGTTTGTAGTTGCCCATAAACACCTAAAAAGAAAGTAACAAGGTAACAAAGGTGCTTAAATAATGCATTTCCATTCAAACCAATGTATTCATTTGATTTTACATTTTCAAGCACACCGTTCCCTGCTACTTTTAAATCTTTGCTAGGGCCTAATTCGTGTGCCATCATAGCACTTAATTGCTGTTTTCATGAGAATTATACATAAAAATAAATCACATTAATTTTATATCTAGTTTAATCTTTGAAAGTTAATATTTTCCTTATTATCAGGTGGCTAGGGCTGAAGGAACAGAATTTGGCTAATTCAGCACAGCTTCTTTTATTTTCTTCTAATTCCAACACTGTTGTGTGAAATGAAATAATACTAATTGATTGTATTCTAGTCAATTAATCAGATTTACAGGAAAAAAACAAATTTAGCACAAGGTTGGACTCTCGTGTCTCAAATTTCCAAAAATACTGCTGAGCAAAGAGAATATATTTAGTGTTATTCTTTATAACTTTTTTTAACAACATGAATAAAATACACATTTGGGATGTGCAAATATACAGTATATGTGCATTAAAATCCTAAAAATATGACTGTAATATTTATAATCTTAAATGTACTTGGAAAATAGCGATTCAGAAAGAATGTCTAAGTATAGTCACATATTCATAATTTACATTATTTGGGGAGCTGAAGGAATTGCTTAATTACTTTTTTTTTAAAAAAAAAGTTGATCTTGCATAAATACATCTTATTGCCAGATCATTTGGAGTTCAAGAAAAGTACTGTGGAAACTCCTAATCTGGGGATGAGCTTGGCCCTTTCTCAACTTAGCTCACGGTCAACCATCTTCGGGCACCACTGTGATTCAGTTGTAAACTTGAAAAGTGTGGCTATTTTTTGTTGGAACAGTCTAGTAAACTCTTATTTCATAGACTTTTGTTTAGTGGACTTCAGATATCATGGGGAAAAATAGGAAAAATATCTGGATCTAAAGACTGCTTGGGAAAGGAAAAGAGTTATGGCCTTGATTTTTTAACGCCTTTCTCTAAAAACTACTTTGTATCCTGGCTGACCTTTTTCATACTTTTCTGCCAATAGATTCTATTATCTTGATATCTTCTCTTAAAGAAGCTATTGCGTGGAAATGCCAATGGACAACAAAATCAAGCCGGAGGGAAAAATGAATAGAATTGAATGACAGCATAAAGATTCAGAATGTAGCAACTAGTAAGACAAGCAGCCATTAAAACTTTAAACATATGAGCTGAGGCCTATTCTGTTACTTCACAGCAATCTTCTGAGGACAACGTAATTTATGCATTTTGTCAGAATTAATGCCCCTCTAATATTGAATTAAACTTCCATCAGGTTTCCACTTGCTTTTTTAGAAGAGGTTGATATATACAGTATGAAAGTCACCTCTCGATAACGCTTCACATCCTGATGAAGAAATCAATGTTTTCTTTTATGGTATTTCCCTCATGTAGGGAACTGATGTAGGGAACTGATATTAGATAAGATAGAAGTTCATTTGCTGTTTTTAAGTAATCACCCATTTAAACTCACCCTTGTAAAAAAATTATTTCATGCCATTATTTTACATGCTTTACAAGGCAAAACCCAGGCACAGGCATTAATGATGCTGCAAGTAAACTTTTATGTCACAAAAGTCAAAATAAAACTTTGTTTCATTTTTACAGGTGAAAAATAGGCTTTTTTCCCCAAGTGCTGCAGTCAAAAATCAATGATTTTCAGACTGAAAAGAAACATAAATGCAGTCTGTGTGTGTGAGAAAGACAGAGACAGAAAGAGAGAGAGAGAATGAGAATCATAGTCAAGTAAAGCCATAGAATGCATACTAGCTAAGTGCAAATACAATTCTATGAATATTCTCCAATATTAGTTGGGAACCCTTGGATATCAAAGGACAATGCTTAAAAGTTTCTATCCACTGACCATTCATATTTTCAGTATCTATATTTGAAATAATATACATTCTAATCAACATACTGCCTCTCTCATATAACATAATATTGGATCTAGTGGAGTTATTCTTTCATTTAACCCTTAAGGATGTTGTTAGGGAGAAGAATTGACAGGCAAGAATGGACTCACTCTATCCTTTTGTCAATAACAAAATAGTTAAGTTTGAATGAACTCAAAACCTGTAACACCAAGCAATTTTATTTAAACTTATTTCTAAGCTATCTTCTACTGCAGAGCACACCTTGGGAACTTTGTATTGAAAAGCTTGAACAGATAAAAAAACAAACAAAAACATTTAAAAATACTTTGGAATAATCAGTAGTCAGGTTTCTGTTTACCAATATAAATTTTAGGTGCCTTGTGATGCAAGAATAAGGCGTAAATAAAGTGTACAAGCAAATATCATCCTTAGCAAGCTAGAAAAAAAAATCCTTAAGTAAATGCCATCAGGCGGCGTGCCATATCAAATGAATAAGAGCTAGAATGGGAAATAGAGATTATAGGGGCTGGAAAATTGCTGGCCTTGCTGCAGTGGAATAGAAGGGAAACAGCAGAGAACAGCTATGTTGACCTTTACAAAAGTTGATCTCTTCTCTTGATTTCTACAATTTCTACAATTGTGAAGATGACTGCATTACTAGAAATACAGTATCTCCTGAACTGTTCTCACTTTGGATTCTGAAAAAAACAGCCACATCCCTGGAAGGAGGAATAATTGGTTTGGTCTGAATTTCACTGCATGCTTACCTAAGTCATACTGCCCAGTCTAAAGACAAGCCAGAATTCAATTGTAGGTTGTTCTACATTTCCTGATTATTGCAATTCAAGATGTATGAAACCATGTGCAGAAAAACACATTGTATAAAAACATGTTAGGAAATATGGATCTGTCTATGGAGATTTACAGTCATCCAGGTCATAGTCTATGTTTTCAGGGTCACCTGAGTAGTGCAAATAGGTGTGGAGCCTTCTTGGAACTTCTGAAAAGATTGTGCTGTAGATTGGAGATAGATGATGTCATATACCTCCCCCTCTGTTGAGAGAGGGCTGTTCAATTTTGACATAGATGGCCTATGAAAAATGAACAGTCCTCTCTCAACAGAGGGGGAGGGATACGACATCATCTATCTCCAATCTGATGACACAGATAAACTTCCAGGTGGCCTCAACAACTCTCTAAAAGAACACAAATGACCAGCTGTCTGCAGGGAGTATAAATCCTTCCATTCCCCACCATCCAGTCAGAGCTAAAGAAGCTTCTTCGAAGAGAAGTGAAACATCTTCAAAGAAAAACAAGGAAAGTCCAGTTGTCTCGTGAAAAAGCACCTTTGGGAGAAATATGGATCTATTAATGAAACCTAAAATAGTATGTGCATGAGGAAGTGTATAGGAAAAATATATAAAAAAGCAGTTTACAAAGAAAGACAGATAGGTTAACTTAAGACCAAGACTCAGCATAGTTAAACTTTATTTTCTTAATTCCAGTTAGTAGGGCAGTCCACAATAAATCATAAAAAGACATCCAGAAACACACTTGCCAGGGGAGCATCTCTCATGGGCACACCATGGCAAACCCATCATTGCCCAAGCTGTGTTCTGGACCAACTGAAGCTTCTGAATGGTATTCATGGACAGCTTCATGTGCAGCACACAGTTGAGCACTGAGGAGACTGGGGCATGGGGGCCTTCTGATCCAGGAAGGACTGCACCAGCCACAGCTGTATGAAGTTCCCCTTGGCTACAACTGGTACCTGCTCTTTCAAAAGGAGTTTTGAGTCTAAGATAGGGTGTCAAACTGCCAGCCCGCAGGCTGGTTTCATCATACCGGAGCCGCGCCCACCCCATTGCCGGCAATGGCGAAAAAGCTCCGATACGTTGCACAATGTCATGTGACGTCGCGAGTTTGACATGCCTGGTCTAAGAGGACCCTCAGGTTGCTCATCACTCTTGAATGGGGAAGTGTTATACAAGAATATAGATGAAAAATCCTCAGTTCCAACTGATTTCCACAAATAAAATTGAGTCAGATGTAGTTCCTCCCCATCTAGGCCCACACAGCTTTGGGAAAAGAGGCTCATTTGACAGAGGTTGGCTTCCAGAACTTTGAACAAAATATAATCTCCCTGAGAAACATTTTTCATGTTTTGTAATTTACTTAAAAGTTTGACTAAGGTCATTTCCTCCACAGATATATAGCAGGTTCTAGCATTACATAGCCATTAATGCCTCTTATATTGGTACAATGTTATCTTGACCCTAGATGCTTATTTTGATATGGAAATCAAACTCAAAATGTTGGCAACAAGGTGGGATGTACATTCAGGGCTTTTAATCATAGAACGCCCAGAACGGAGTTCCGGCACCTTTTTTGGACGAAACCTTGTAGGATAGGCAAGGCAGGTTGTATAACATGTGTTGAGTTCCAGCACCTTTTTGTTTTACAAAAAAAAAAAACACTGTGTACATTTAATAAATAACTAACCTATTCTTCCATGTGTTTGATTACCCTTTATTGTGTTCATTTTGCACATATAGAAGTAGTAAATCTCAATATCCAATAATATGCACATTAATGAGAGAGAGAGAGAGAGAGAGAGAGAGAGAGAGAGAGAGAGAGAGAGAGAGAGAGAGAGAGAGAGAGAGAGAACACACAATTAGTACAGAAGCATACATATTTTTTTTTACTTTTTTATTACCCAATCCCCATGTTTTGGGTAAGATATATTCTTTTTAAAATCTGGGATATTTTCTCTCTATGTGTGGGTGCATTATGATGATCAAAATATTCTTTTTTAAATACTTTCAAGTTTATTTAGCTATAGAATATTCAGCAATTCGATACAGAATTATTCACCCTTATTTTTTAAATAGTTTACTTCTTCATAAACTAGCAAATGGACTCCAAGGTAACATTAAGGAAAGTTTATTGTTGTTGTTAGTCGCGAAGTTGTGTCCAACCCATTGCGACTCCATGGACAACGTTCCTCCAGGCCTTCCTGTCCTCTACCATCTTCTGGAGTCTATTTAAGCTCACGCCTACTGCTTCAGTGACTCCATCCAGCCACCTCATTCTCTGTCGTCCCCTTCTTCTCTTGCCCTCAATCTTTCCCAGCATTAGGCTCTTCTCCAGTGAGTCCTTCCTGCTCATTAGGTGGCCAAAGTACTTGAGTTTCAACTTCAGGATCTGGCCTTCTAAAGAGCAGTCAGGGTTGATCTCCTCTAGGACTGACCGGTTTGATCACCTTGCAGTCCAAGGGACTTGCAGGAGTCTTCTCCAGCACCATACATTGCAACTGGGAAAACCATGGCCTTGACTATATGTACTTTTCTTGGCAGGGTGATGTCTCTGCTTTTTAGTATGCTGTCTAGATTTGCCATAGCTTTCCTCCCCAGGAGCAAGCGTCTTTTAATTTCTTGGCTGCAGTCCCCATCTGTGGTGATCTTGGAGCCCTGGAAGATAAAATCTGTCACTACCTCCATTTCTTTCCCATCTATTTGCCAGGAATTGAGAGGGCTGAATGCCATGATCTTGGTTTTCTTAATATTGAGTTTCAAGCCAACTTTTGCACTCTCCTTTTCCACCCGCATCAAGAGGCTCTTTAGTTCCTCTTCACTTTCTGTCATTAGAGTGGTATCATCTGCATATCTTAGGTTGTTGATATTTCTCCCGGCAATCTTAATTCCAACTTTTGATTCATCTAGCCTTGCCTTTCTCATGATGTGCTCTGCATATAAGTTAAATAGGCAGGGAGATAGAATACAGCCTTGCTGGATTCCTTTCCCAATTTTGAACCAATCACTGGTCCCATGTCCAGTTCTCACTGTTGCTTCTTGACCTGCATATAGGTTAAGTAAAGTTATTCTATTCCAATTACTGCTATAAATGCAATCCTGTGATGTTCACTCAGAAACAACTTCAAGGAAGCTTATTAGTTAAGGAAAGTGTTGACGTGTCCAAAGCAGAGCAACCAAACAATGAAGCAGCCTAATATTAATGGGATAGTACAACTCAAATCTAAGGAATATAATTTTAGTATTTATTATATCATTCTAGCAAACCTATGTTAAACAAGGTGGGGAATTCATGCAAAGCATGGCTTCTGGGATTCATTTCAACCCCTTTATCAGCCATACCAATACAAGGAGTCTGTAATGTCTTCTGTAGAACTATGTAATGAGTTTTGTCTGTACGTGCATGTACATAATATGCACACTGGGAAGCCCAGAACAGACTGCCTATGACCCACAGAAGAGCTGCTATTAAGAGGCCCTATTCTGTTCTGCTATCAAGCGTTATGCTGCTGACAGACAGATGGAGTCCTGACCCTCTTTACATAATTTTCATACATTTCTTTGGGTTGGAAAGAATAAAAAGCATATTAACCTTTTTCTTGCTTCAATTATCCTACATACACACTTCTAATAATAAAATAATTGCATTCAAATGTCAGTAGCTGCAATTGGTGTCTGATTTCATAAAAGAGATTTCATAGAGGATAGAAAAACAAAGACATTCAAGGGATATGCAAGAGAACTGTAATTTTGGATTTGTTCAGGAAGAAGAAATTCACCCTTGATTTAAGATGATAATTTCGTAGTGATTAGCCACGAAAGGGTATTTCTTCACTGTCTAGACAGTTTACTATATGTGAAACCTACTTAAAAGTAGAAGACCCTCGCTTTTTGTTGGACTGGAGACAGAAAAAACAGTATGACAATTTGAAAGAAGGAATCTGGGAAGAAAAAGTCCACCTAATTCTGGAAATAGGGTAGAGAATGAATTGCACTGAAGTTTCATCTTAAAACAGTTTAAAGAAACACAAAATCTCACTCACTCACTCACACCCAAGCACCCATAAATAGACAGACAGACAGACAGACAAAACCCAACCTCAAAACAGCAAGATTCTCTATCCTTTTTAAGTCCCAAAAGCTTTGTTTAACTGAAGAATATCCTTTTTGCTTGGAAAAGTTATTGGGCAAATTCTAATACTGACTCAAGATACATTTGCAATTCCTTCTGAAATTCTCAGGTGAAAGGAAAAACAGAATACACTCATCTTCAGTATACTTTAATCTTGGGGTATTACCAAATGTGGATTTAAGGAAGGAAGTTTCCCTTGAAAACTGAAATATGTTGACAACTTTGATTTCCCCTAAACTCCCTCCTTCTCTGGGACTAACTTCAGTAACTAACCTATTTTTCTATAAAATTCCTTTCCTGGAAAACTTCATCATTATTGCTTTTTCTAGGCACACTCAGAGAGAATTCCCAGGATCTGAACTGGCAATGGCCTATACTTTGGCAGAACAAAACCAACCTGTAATGCAAACTGTTTTTCTAGTGAGTGAAATAAATTGATTATCTCCCAATACATTTGTGTTCTATATTCTATGACGTTAGGTAAAGTCAGTTTTCCTCAGTCCGATTACCTTTTTTTAAACAATGAGCTTCTCCCTTTCTTCACCTAGAGAATGGAATTGCCCTAGCTTGCCATGCCACCTATCAGTTTTTATAGGATAAAATCAAATCTGAACTGGAGAACTCTTCCAGGTTTCAGACTAATTGGGTGACTATGTTCCGTTTCAGAAAAACGGTGTCCCTTAACCAGAGACTTCAATGTGTACTGCTTCAACGTTCACTCCACATGCAACACGTAGACCACCCTCCCCCCCCACACACTGCACAAACACACATTCTTTTTATAATTTTAGTGAAACACCTGTGTAAATTTAAAGGCTAACCTGACCTCACTCTGAATAAATCAATATTTCAAGTACTTCTTAAGATCATTTTCCACACATCCTGATTAAAGACTAGTAATGAAGATTGGCATCTCTCGGTGAATATATTGGATCTGGAGTTTGGAGAAACAAAACTGTCTGGAATCTCCTACAACTGTTCTATGTCCTCATTCAGGGCTTAAGTCCCTTTTCCCTTCCAGAGAAGGCAATGGGAGATGCTTCAGCTGTACATTGCTGTTACTTGGAAGAAATCTCTCGGAGTGTGAACACATAACCGCAAGGAAGATGCCACCAGAGCTACCAAGGGTGGTAGCTGCTCACGGTCATGGGATCCAAATTCAGGCTTTGGCATCCAGCTTGTGTTTACAGCGGTCGCAGCATCCCAGGGCCACATCGCCATTTGTGATCTTCCTTGCTGGCTTCTAACAAGCAAGTCAAATGGGGGAAGCCAGACTTCCTTAAGGACTATATGATTCACTTAATAATTGTGGTGATTTGCTTAAAAACCATGGGAAAAAAGTTGTAAACATGAGGTGAGACTCACTTAGCAACTGCTTTGCTTAGCAATGGAAATTCTGATCTCAACTGTGGTCGTAATACGAGGACTACCTGTACTCCAAAAGACGACAAACTCAGCCTGGAAGAAAAGGAGAGAGAAAGGATGGTCCCATCCTCTCCCTCCAAAGTAGAAGTCTATTCTTCAGCAATGTTTAATTTTTCCAACCTTCCCAAAACAAAATGCCAAGGGAAAGTCACTGAAGTCTTCCAGAAGTCATATGTTTTTACCTTTACTTAATTTTGTTTTGTATTGATTGCAATGCTACGATTCATCTGGAGCAGTGGTTCTCAACCTGTGGGTCGGGACCCCATTTGGGGTTGAACGACCATTTCACAGGGGTCGCCAAACAACGCAGTCCGCCATTTTTTTCCCCTTTTCCTTAGCTGTGCTACTCCCTTTTATTTTATTGGCTTTTGAAAGCCAATAGAATAGACTCTCTTGAATAGAGTCTAATTCTATTGGCTTTCAAAAGCCAATAGGAATTGTCCAGGCTGTCTCTGCCCTGCTGAGCCCGCCAAAAGTCCCATTCTGCAAACGGTGCTGCAAGTTGTCTGCAGCGAAGGCGAGCTGTCTGGAAGCTTCCATCCCTCCCTGCTGAGCAACTACTAAAAATGTAAGTAATAGAGGGCCGGGGGTGGGAGGTGGGAGGCCGGCGGGCGCAGGGAGGGTTGCTGGTGCGCGTGGGGTCTGGCGGGTGCCTTACCTCCCTTGGGCTGGGCCAGCTGGTGGCCCAGTCGGTGGTTGGCCTGTGCCGTCTCTGCTGCTTGCCAGCCACGCCTTGGCCGGCGGAGGAGGCGGCACAACGCATGTGCGGCGCTCCTGGGCAGGGAAAGTCCTCGACTTACGACCAGTTGGGTAATCCTCAACTTACAACCAGTTAGGTAATCCTCGACTTACAACCGGTTGGGGGTCGCAGCATTAAAAAGGTTGAGAACCACTGAAATATTTACATTACGATTCATAACAGTAGCAAAATTACAGTTATGAAATAGCAACGAAAATAATGTTATGGTTGGGGGTCACCACAACATGAGGAACTGTATTAGAAAGCATTAGAAAGGTTGAGAACCACTGATCTGGAGCATTCAGAGGCCCACAGCGATTCCTTTGACATCTTGTACCTTGCGGCACTGCAGGGAAGGAACTGCTTTTCATTTTATCTCCTCCCTACGAATAACAGAATGTGTTAAGGTAGCTTTCTGTCTTACCTTGGATTTGGATGCTGTTTGGCTGAAAAGAAGGATTGCTCAGCGAACCATTCGTCTTCAAATGCACTTCTCCAAATTGCTGGGTTGTTGAAGGCTGTGATGTTCTTTTCTGCATGAAAGGAGGGGGAGGAGGAATTCTCCCATGGCTTATAGGGTGAGGGGAAAAAAGGAACAGAAGAAAACCTGAGATATTAAGAAAGAATACACTACGAACGGTAGTCAGGTGTCTTGCTCAGAAGATAATATTTATTTAAAGTTTTTAATATATTCTCCCAGTGTCACAGTGCGGGGGAAAATATTTTTAAAAAGTGCTAAGTTCTCAAATATTACTATGTATAGTGCCCCAGAGAAAGGAAAATAAGACCTTTCATTCTATTCATTAAAGGAAATCGTATTTTACAAGGCATATATTTGAAATGGTTGGGAATCTACCTTCTCCTCCAAATATTACATGGCGGAATTGATTGGCTCCATGGAAAAATGCTGAGAAGGAAGAGAAGGCCACATCATTTACAGCAGAGCAGAGCACAAGGGGAAATGGAGGCTGTGAAGCTTTCCCTATAAACCCATGTTCGTTTTATAAAGATGGCCGAGAAGAGCTAAATCCTCAGGAAAAACTCATATATTTCTTCCTGCCGTGAGCAGAGAAATGTCATCCTTAGTTTTGATCTTCCCTTAGCTTTATAATGTACATCTTACCTTCCAGTGCTTTGACCAAGAAGTTAAGATCTCAATTAGCTTGTACAAATATACAATTATACATCTACTTTAACTGCATTCATACAATCATTTGTTAGCTTTGAGGGATCAGGATACTGCAGATAGATTGTTTTCTTGTCTAAACTTCTAGAACTTCTTTTCAGTTTAATAGCTGAACATTTTAAGTTGTTTTGTTTTTTTGCAAAATTTACCTGTGTTCATGAAAAATAGCTGTAACTGTCACCCAGTAACAGACAAAACAAAATCTTCCACAAACTATTGTGCAGTTAGATCTTTTAATCTAAGAAAGCCTTCCAATTGATTGTAGCGCATTTTGTATTGCCAGACAGGTCTCCTTTCTTATAGACTTTAGTGGATGTTTTTTTTAATGATTTATGAATTGCATCATGAATTCCTGAATTACTCCAGTTGGTGACTATAGCATTACTTATATTGCCTACCTCTCTTACAAAAGAGATACTTGGCCTTATTTCAAGCAAGATCTCTGCCTAAATAAATCACAGTGCTACTGAGGGAACAGCAAAATAAATTTTGCATATACAACGATTAATACCAGCCTGTAACCTCTAGGAAATTGCCACCTGAAATCATGTCTATGCCCTGCAGTACAGTATATTTTAAACTACAATTTGCTCTTTTAAAAAAGCAGTTCTGCCTTCAAAGGATGAGATCAACTCATGTACTGTTCATTTTTTCATTGCCCAGAGCCTGGCTGTGTAGTTGGCATTACCATTACTTTTTGAATTCCTTACATTTTGGTGGCATGACATAAGCTAGTTTGGTAATCTGCTAGTGAATTATTATAGGTGGTTTAGAACTGATTGGAGTTATTAGTCTATGCTATAGTTTTAAGATACCTAGAAAAAGCATAAAAGAGGATAATCAACTAAATAGAAGGCAAGATATGCCCAGTCTTTTAACAAGATTACATCATTTTATTAATATTCCTCAAATTAACTCTGCCAAATCAGTCCCAACTATGTGCATGGTGCATCCCCTCCCATTTTCTCATCAAATAAAAACTTTTGTCCTTTAAATGTATTAAGTATGGCAGATCTTTACTATAATGTAGAAACAGCCATATATGTTTTAAGCCTCACTTAACTGTTTTCAAGACAATAGTATCTGATTACATTATTCTGATTCTTTGAAACAAGTAGAGGCAAGGTTAGCTCACATTAGCTTCTAACTAAAAACAGAATAGTAGAGTTAAAAAAACTTTACCAGGTTGAGAAACAGAAAAAATAACAGAAAATAACAGAATAATAGAGTTGGAAGGGACCTTTGAGGTCTTCTAGTCCAAACCCCTGTTCATGCAGGAAACCCCATACCATTTCAGACAAATGATTGTCCAATCTCTTAAAAATTTCCAGTGCTGGAGCATTCACAGCTTCTGGAGGCGGGTTGTTCCACTGATTAATTGTTCTAACTATCAGGAAATTTCTCCTTAGTTTTCTCCTTGATTAGTCTCCATCTATTGCTTCTTGTCCTGCCTTCAGGCGCTTTGAAGAATAGGTTGACTCCCTCTTCCTTGTGGCAGCCCCTGAGATATTGGAACACTGCTATCATGTCACCCCTAATCCTTCTTTTCATTAAACTAGACATAGCCAATTCCAGCAACCATTCTTTATGTTTTAGCCTCCAATCCCCTAATCATCTTTGTTGCTCTTCTCTGTACTCTTTCTAGAGTCTCAACATCTTTTTTACTTCATGGTGACCAAAGCTGGATGCTGTATTCCAAGTGTGGCTTTACTAAGGCATTGTAAAGTAGTATTAATACTTCATGTGATCTTGATTCTATCCCTGTTAATATAGCCTAGAACTGTGTTGGCTTTTTTGGCAGCTGCAGCAACACTACTGGCTCATATTTAAGTGATTGTGCGCTAGGACTCCAAGATCCCTTTCACAGTTACTACTATTGAGCCAGGTACCACCTATACTATACCAGTGCAGTTGGATTTTCTTGCCTAAATGTAGAACCTTAACTTTTTTCACCATTGAATTTCATTTTGTTAGATAGCACCCAATGTTCAAGTTTCTCATGATCCTCTTGTATCTTAAGCCTATCTTCTGGAGTGTGGGCTATTCCTGCCAGCTTGGTGTTATCTACAAATTTGATGAGTTCCCCATCTATCCCCTCATCCAAATCATTGATGAAGATGTTGAAGAGCACTGGGCCCAGAACAGAGCCCTCAGGAACCCCACTACACACTTCCCTCCATATAGATGCAGTTCCATTGAGGACTAAACATTGAGGGCGATTGCTCAGGCAGTTACGAATCCATCTGGTGGTGATGCTGTCTAACCCACATTTTTCTATTTTATCAAGTAGTAGATTGTGGTCTACTTTATCAAGTGCCTTACTAGACTCCAAGTAAATTATATCCACAGCATTCTTCTGAGTCACTAATTTTGTCACTTTGTCAAATAATGCAATAAGATTTGACTGGCATGATCTGTTTTTGACAAACCCATGTTGCATTTTGGTTATGACTTCGTTTGCCTCTAGGTGTTCGCACATTCATTGCTATGTCAGAAACTTTGTCAGAATTGTCAGAAGCTTGTTCATATGTTTCTGGCATCCATTTGACTCCTTTCCTTTTCTTTCCTTCCTCCCTCCTCTTCCTCAGCACTAAGGGTATTTCTTTATAACAAAATGATATAATTCTATAATTGTAGTATTATAGAATAATCTCGCAATTGTGATGAAGATTTGGACTTTTCATTTTTATTATCAATGACGAGTAGATAGTTATTTTCCTTACAGCATCCATCGACCTGAGTTCTATTTGACAGCACTTTCCTCCCCACCCAATTTACTCCCTAAAAATCAGAAGAGCTATATGCGTTCATACAAAAGGTGTCAAAAGGAGCAGATATTCTTATTGCACAAGAAATGAAAAAAAAAGAGATCCTTTTTCACTATATTGTTACCGTGAAGGGGGAGGTGTTTGTTTTCGTGCTATGGTAGAAAGCTGTTAGAGCATTCCATTTTGTCTCAACTTCTCTTATTCTTCAAAATTGTTTCTCTTTTCCCAGAAGCCCTTCTCTTTGTTAGGCATTTCTGGCAATTATAGCAGTGCAAAAATGACTCTACTTTGTGTTTTCAAGGCTGAACCTATCTTCTCTGTTTTTCTTCTGGTTCTGTTGCAAAAGGAATAATTCTCTGCATATCCAAGTGGAACAACCACTGAATGTCCCCCCCCCCAAATAAGAGGACTTCCCTCTCTCCCTCTCGAATCTTGTCCATATGAAACATAATACTTCTGAAGCTCAACTTTATGTGATACAGAAGATACATTATTGGATTTTTGTCATATGTTATTTTTCAATGAAAAACAGTGGCACAAGAGAGGAAGAGTTTAAATCTTTCCCCAAAACCACTCGCTAATTAAACATTTATGGCTGGCTGCTGCTCTGTAAGAGAATAAAAACAATTAAAATTGTTTCCCAATTCTGGGACAACCAACAACTTTGGAAAGAAAAAATTGTCAGAATAAAAGTCACCAGAGGGAGAAAGCTTAAGGCATCTTCAATTGTTGGTAGATTTTCTTAAATGTAGTGCTTTTCTTTGTTTATTTCTATTACATTTTGGGTGTTTTGAATATTACTTAACAGAACAATCAAAACAGCATTATAATTTTTACTAGTAAAAGCTAAAAGGTTTACCTTTACTGTTTGAACCATTTATCAGATTGCACTTAACAAAGGACTAAGTTTATTTAAAATAAAGTTTTAAGAGAAGAGAAATGACAACGCAAGGTAGCTTGGACTTTTTGTATTCATGCGTGTTACATTAACATTTAATTCAGTGTTAATCCAAAAAGATGCTTTATTTTAGCTTGATTTTTAGTTGGTCTTGTCTTCTGTATAAAAATCTGAAATGTTTTTCCCCCAAACTTGTAATTCATAACAACTCTTGTATACATTTTTTTCTGCAGAGTGAGTATTCTTATTTTCTGTTACAAGCATATACCTTGAAATGTTTGAAGACAAGAGGATAGGACTGCTACAACAAAACCATGTAAGAACATGTAAGCCACTGAACGTTGTCTTAGAGAGTAGGAAATGCTGTAAAGACACATCCTGTGGATTCGCATCGCAAAAAGTCCTTTCTATTTCATCCCTGAGCAGCAGGAGCGACTGCTTGGTTTTATAAAATCATTCCTTTGGTACCCACAGTCAGTTAATAATGAAACTGTTTTTGGAATATATAATGTAGGCAATATCTCAGGAAGATTTTTCTTGTAAAAAATATCAGATACCTGAGGATTTCTTACATTTGAATTTCACTAGGAAACTGGCTGTACGCTGTTCATGTACACCCCAAGGGCTTTCTATCTTTGAAACCTTGGGATGGTAATCCTCAGACAACTTCTTCTATTCAAAATGATCAGATGAAAGAAGCAGGAGTGGGTAGGGTGGGGTTGGATGGTAGGGAAAATGGCCTTACCTCTCTGTTCCTGGATCCCCCATGGATGGGTTGCGGGGGCTCTCGTGAATGCTGGGCCTTGGCGAAGGGAGGCTCACAGCATGTGAGGCAGGTTCATTGCCCACAGCAATTCCACTTTGATTTGAAGGAGTGCTGGAGAACATGGTAGCTATAACCCGTGCAAAAGCATTCACAATTAATATGAAAGGCGCATTTAGATTTGTCATTCAATTATGGATGATTCTGATTTTCAAAAGTAATCCCAGAAACATAGTGAGCTTCCTTTATATACAGTTCTATGTAAACAGAGGCTAGAGAGCTATCTGCATGGGATGCTTTTATCTGGATCCTTTTTTTTAAAGGCTTTAATATAATTTTTAAAAAGGAAAACAAACATGCTAAGTATGAAAATAAAAGAAAAAAAGCACATTGTACCTAGATGAAATACAACGCATAATTATATATATTTTTAACAGTGGTGCAGCTCAAGTTTTAAACAACTTTTAAACAATCATGTCATCTAGTACTTCTGCTGTTCAGTAAGAGCCAGTTTAAAAGCCAAGAAAGTACACATTTCATCAAGCCAATATCTTTCTAAAAACATTATTTTTTCCTACAGTCCATTCACAGATTCGCTTCGGATTTTAGGGATTTGGTTATGCAATACATTATTATATTTAAATCTAATCTCCCTGATTAAACTATTATTGACGGCACTGAGCACATCCAGCCCCTTCAAAACAGCCCCTTCTGTACATGCAGCATGGAAAGATAGATAAATCAACTCTTTTTAAACATCCCCTGAGGAGTCCAATAAAGCTCTGAAAGAATTTGAAGAATATAAGAACTATGTTTATAATCTTTTTTAACTATAATCTATTGACTAGTTAGAATAGGATAGTTAAATTGTTTATTTTTAAATTTGTTGTAATTTATCAACATTTATCATTGAAAGATTCTTTGTTGATAAAACAATTTAGCGTATTTGCTTCTATTAACAATGATATTATTGTAAAAACAGTTATTCCCCTTCCTGCAAGTTATCAGAATCCAAATGTTAAATAAAACTCAGTTTTTCGGGATTTCTATAGAAGTTTTCTACTAATGGTAAAAAAAATTAGATTTAGTGCAGCTTATTGTTTGTGTGTGTGTGTGAGTGTGTGTGTGAATGTATATTTCAAACAATACAATTATGTTGTGCAGTCTTTATTACATTTGATAAAGAACTTTAATCATTAATAAGGCTCAAAATATCATCTGCATACAGTAACACTTCTAGCTGCTACAAAACTTTGATAAAACTCGGTGTCTTTAAGAGAAAACAGCCCTGAAAAACATTTTTCCAGGACAACCCCTAAAAGTTACTCATCTTGCTTAACTGCTTAAGGAATACTCAAAGTTCAGAACTTTTTCTTTAATTAATGGCTTGGAGTTGAATGAGTTTCTCTTGACATACAACAGTCTCAGATATGCTTGCCCTTTTTGAAAATTAACCCTAACCCCAAAAGTTCAAAATATCGTTTCATTAAGTTATTTAATTTCCTTCTGCAAAGAGTCAACTTTCCACTGAATTTATCAGCTTTAAGGATATACAGTACTTATATTACATATAATGAGTAGCTGAAATTATGATACTCGGCTCAATTCCACATCAAAATTTGGAGCTGGAAAAAGTTCAGCTGATATTTCAGCTGGAGCAAGATCACCAGAAATAATCAGCTTTTTAAACAATTAAATGTAAGGAGTTTTTTTTTCTCTCAAGCAGGAGTTACAATACTCCTCAGTGGGTGATATAGCACCCATTACTTCTTGTGTTACAAGCTATATCTCCTCCCCAAAATTCTAAAGTTAGTAGTCAAAGAAGATACAAGTTATTCTGCTTACCAATTCTTCTACAAGCATTTATAGTTTTAAACTCATAAAAACCAGTGAAAATTAACTGAAAGTAATGTCTTTCCATCTTGGTTAGAATTCCCACTTATTAAGCAGGACTTGGCCTAAACTCCTATCTAGGATTCCATAATTCAAATTCATAATTCTACCACCATGCATTCTCTAAAAAATATTAAAAGAAGCAAATATTGGAAGGATGATATTGAATGCAGATTTCCACCTAACGGCACCCCCCCATACAATTGCAGAACTAGGAAAAAAATAGTTTTATCCTAGAATTAAAATATTTGTAAATGAGTTGTCACATCATAACAGAAATCCAGAGGCATAATTTGAAGAGCTGCTTAAAACGTAAAATTATAAAGTCACTATGCTAAAGTCCTATAAAGATATGGACTGATGGAACAGTTACACGTTAAAATGGACAATCGATTTAAATTCACATTTGGCAGAAGAAGACTTCACTCCTAGAGTGTCTGTAGATTAAAACTCATTATTTCAATTAGTTTTAAGAGAAAGGTTTATATAATCTAATAAAGGGATGTCAGTATCAAAATGCACACCCAGCTAATAATCTCACACAAAAAGCATAAAACCTCAAGATATGTATACAAAATAGTCTTTCTTGTTTCCTATTTTCATCTTCCTTCTAGTCCCATGGCCTTTCTTCAGTTAACATTTTCCATACACCTCATTCTGGTCCTTATATTCTCACAGTTGTCACAATGCCTACTCCCCATAACTCAGTCAGCTTAATGAGTGATGAAAATGCCTTTTTCTGGCCCATAACTCTCTTTAAAAGTTCCCTCAGTTTTTGTGAGTCCCCTTTTCAATAATTTAATAAAAATTGTTCAAGTGCATCCTTCAGGGATGAGAGAGGCACTGTGATGTTAATTCTAGGGATAACAAATTTCTGGAAACTGGTATTACAAATCACTATGAAAACATAAGATAAATTTTGATTTCCCCATATAACCATTGCTTATTAAAGATTACTAAAAGAACAAGGCATTTTGACTGGTGGAAAATTTTAATCACTACTGTCACTTGAACAGCAAAACATTGTAATCAAACACTCCAGCAAAGAGTGATTAAAAGAATAATGAAGAATAATAGTAATGGACATGTTGACAACATTAATATGAAGGAAGAAAATTGTCCTTTATGTTTGCCCAAAAAGTCATGGGAAATTTTTCTTTTGTTATTGGAATGTGACTGGTGCCAGTTAGGATGCTGAGACTGTTTTGATATGATTTTGTATGAAATAATTACTGCCACTATTTTGGTTAAGGAGATATGTTTTGTATACTTACTCTAACTAGCTTTACTATGTCATGGTGAAGGACCATCAATTGATGCACTGAACTGCTGGAACAAGCCAAAGGTTCATCTAGAGTCCAACATTGTGTTTCCAATAACAGCCAGCTAAAAGGTATGAAGTCAACTTTCCTCCTTTGTAATTTATCTCCTAGCAACTAGCATTACAGGCAAGCCCATGCTGAACTGAGGGGGTGGGTTGCCCGATTTTGTCACCATTACTAAATATTAATCAATAAGGAGATCTGGAACACATGTTTCCTTTGTGCATTCAGTCGCACCAGCCTCCAGAATAGTTTATTTCATTCTAGAATAGAATAGTCTATTAAGCTTTGAATTTCTTTTACGTACTCTACCAGCCTATCAGCATTTCATGGCTCCTGTGCATACTTTCTTAAAGATTTATTTTTAAAAGAACCTTCACAGTTTTAGAGTTCCCTGAAACTACAAATACAGTACTGTTATTGGGGTGTGGGTTATGTTCAGTTTATTTTGAACCCTCCCAAATCACCCCCCCCCCAGGTTAGATGAAAACCTCCACCAGAAAATTCCCTAAGTGAGAAGAAATCCCCATGGGAAAATACCCCTGTCTTTTCCATTATTTTTAAACTGTTCATCGCTGACCTTGGGTAACGCTTATTGCCGGAGAGACCTTGTCTCCATTCATAAGATACATTGTTTCGATGACAAATTAAGGTAGAGATACAATGTATCCAGTGACCTCAAAAACTGGGGAAAGGCAATAAACTCAAAGTGCTGGGATAGCTCAAAGCAGTGGGATCGTAAGCAGACGTTGACTGATCACAGAAAGCAAACCAGATTAAAAGGCATGAGAATATAACACCTATGCCCAAACTTCCTACATCCAAAGAGGACAGTGACAAGAATCATATGCCCTCAGGAAAATCTTTGCTAATAAGGAAAATAACTAGCAAGATATTCCCCTTAGTTCGTGGGTCATAAAATATATCACATTCACATTTCCTTCACAAACATAGCACAAAGGATTCAAAATCCTATACAAATCTCGCTGATGTACCAGTGAATTGCCAGCTGCCCCCCAAAAGAACTCCCATTATTGTTTCTGGAATAAAAAGAGAGACCTCTTTTCCAGGACCTCGCCTTGTGTCTTGATTGCTCATGGTTTTTTCCCCGGTTCAGAAAAAAAGGGACCCAGGGAAATTCTCCCAACAATTATTATGTTTAAACATTTAAGGAAGGCTACTTATGCTTGAACTTCAGAAAAAGAAAGAGGTATAGGCTGCTGTTCCATGAACTGTGTGAAGAAATACATTGTTTGATCTATAACAATAACAATAATAATAAAGTTGGAAGAGACCTTGGAGGTCATCAAGTCCAACCCCCTGCTCAGGCAGAAAACCCTATACCATTTCGGACAAATGGCTGTCCAGTCTCTTCTTAAAAACTTCCAGTGTTGGAGCATTCACTGCTCCTGAAGGCAGGTTGTTCCACTAGTTAATTGTTCTAACTGTCAGGAAATTTCTCCTTAGTTCTAGGTTGCTTCTCTCCTTGATTAGTTTCCACCCGTTGCTTCTTGTCCTGCCTTCAGGCGCTTTGGAGAATAGCTTGACTCCCTCTTCTTTGTGGCAGCCCCTGAGATATTGGAACACTGCTATCATGTCCCCCCTCGTCCTTCTCTTCGTTAAACTAGACATACCCAATTCCAGCAACCATTCCGTATATGTTTTAGCCTCCAGTCCCCTAATCATCTTTGTTGCTCTTCTCTGTACTCTTTAGAGTCTCAACATCTTTTTTACATCACGGTGACCAAAACTGGATGCAGTATTCCAAGTGTGGTCTTACCAAGGCATTGTAAAGTATTAACACTTCACGTGATCTTGATTCTGTCCCTCTGTCAATGTAGCCCATCTAGTCTTAATTTATTTCTGATTTCCTTTTAGATGTGACTAAGTTCCTTACATGGGATTGAAAGAGTGA